AACAGCAACAAGAAACGGCTAATGAGTGTTGATTATGAAGGCAATATTAAATTCACAGTTCAAATCAGAAAGGAAGAAGATCCCAACTGCCCTTATGGGGTGTGTTGTGATAAGGGCGGTCATATCTATACAATTGTATCTGGTCCGGAGCGACAAGATGCAGCATCACCAGCTGTAAGTCCAGCATCTTATGGGGCAACATCAATGAGCGGTGGATTTTCTTTTAGAATTCCCACTGCAGTTACAACTACAATGAAGCTCAGTTCAGTTAAAAGAGTTCCTACGCCAGTACTAACACCAACTTACAAGGCTGCAGTTGAATGCTACAGTCCAAATGGCAAGCTCCTGCGATCCATCTCTGGAGATGAGATAGAGAACAATTCAAGAGGAATCACATACACCATTGATGGGAAACTAGTGTTGACTGGTGTAAAGTCTACACTAATATATCACAGAGTGTAAAGGCAGCTGCTGTGGGGATGAGGGTGGTTTGGGGATCAACTTACCATCTTAGCAACATCCTTCAGAAAATTGTTGAAAGAGCATCCAAGCACAGCAGCCAATAACAAGGTTCATATTCAAATCTGTCAATTAGAGGAAAGAGCAGTTCATAAAATTCTGTACTACTCCAATGGTGTAATAGTTGACAGCAAATACACTCAGAGCTTGTGTTATAAAGTAAAACAAAGAAGAACACAAAAAAAGATCAATTACAGATTTATCGTGGTGAAACACACAAATGATGAAAACCAGAGTATTCTAGTGTACCGGTACGTATATTTCTACCTAAAGATGAAGTCAAACTGTTAACAAATGCCAAGAGAACTACAAAGTCAAATTTCATGAAAGCAAGTTTTGGAGATATGCTTTTATTGCATGCTTATTGTCTTTTCATTTGTTGGGATGCTGGCTCCCAGCAATCCCAAGTACTCAATTTGGCAAGGAAAAAAGATTAAGATTTGAACAAACCTTTCAGCCTAGAAGTTACATAAGGTACAGAACTTAAATCCATCAAGAAATGTCTGATTCATTAAAACGTCATGTTAGGATGAACATTTTGGAGTTTGCAACTGTAGCACTTAAATGAATAAAAAATATACACTCCCAATGATTGGTGACACTTCTTCCATTTTAACATTACTATTTTCAATACCAAGTTTCTTTCTGCTGCACGTACAGCAAGAAGAGCCATTGTATGACGGGATGGTTACTGCTGAGGCTGGGAAAGTGAAGAGAATTTTATTTGGATATTCTTAATGATTTCGCCTGTTGATTGGTAGATGTTATAAAATGAATACTTTGTTAATTTGAAATTGAATTTTTTTTCTGCAAAGTGAATCTGTGAGCCAATGGTGTAAATACTAAGTTGAAAGTCATTTTTAAATCTGTTTCAAAGTTTCTAAGCATTTGTTCTTTGAAATGTTTAAACATCACATTCATATTTACTAGTGTAGATAATTGTTATTTTTCCAAAGGAATTACATAAATTAATTCTGTCTGAAAATCTTTTTTCTTTTTTATGACTTCAAGTCTTTGATTTTAATATTTAATCATCAAAGGTTTACAAATCTCATGTCTAACAATTTACGAAATATATCGGTAGAATTAACCCAAGTTGAAAAGACACTCCTACACTTCTAGTTTGCATGGTAGAAAATGTTCATGGTAGAAATGTTTTGTTTAAATAGCTTATGTATTGTTGTAGTATATCATTGATATTGGATTTGACTGTAACAAGCGCTAGTGTAGAGAATGGATTAATTGAG